TGAGGACGTTGTTGGCTTGTTCGCAGAGGCAGTCCCAGTCTTGGGAGTCGCAGGCGTCGAATTGAGACTTGGTCTGGATAAACATTTGTCAGTGTGATGCTTCGCGTTTGTGCATTTGACGTAAGTTCCGTCAGGGAATGCATGCTTACGGTTCCGAGGCAAGACTCAATGATCAGATCGATGGAGCTGCCGCATCCTGAGGTGGAAGCTGATGAGCTAGAGCCAGAGCTGCTAGAAGCAGTGGTTTGCGCGGCAGCAAGGCCGGCAACTGCGAGGATGAGAGCAGTAGACGCGTGCATGATGTCGGTGGATTAAGTTGTCGCTTTCGAAGTAATTAAAATTGAGTTTGGTGGAATGCTCTGTGGTCGAAGAAGCAGAATGTAATCGGTGTACAGCGAGAGACGTCGAAAGATCAATCAAGCAAGCAAGCGTTGAGTTAGGAGCGACAGACAGGAGGACGGTTAGCGGGTGGAAAGGGCGAGGACGGACGACAGGGCAGGGCAAGTGGTAATATACTCTGCAACATCCCTGGCCTCATATAAACATCCAAAGCGAGCCGGGCCAGTTCTGGGGAGAGCTTCAATGCAGCGCACGGGCTCGTTTTCTTACCACTCTCGGCCTCGCGCCGAACTTGCCGACGTGCTCATTGGCCGGATAGATGAAGTGGCGTGAACCCAGCGAGCGATCCACGGCAACCTCTCTCTCCCTCAACGGCGCGGCTTTGAGGGGCGACCTTGCCTGCAGCATCTCGTCGTGCAGACGAGCCGGGCGGGAATATCAGTGCATTGCGTGCTGCGCTCTCTGCTGGTTCATCGCAGTCCGACCTGTTGTGTTGCGGCAGGAGAATAGTAAGAGACAGGAGCGCAAAGCTTTGGGCCAAACGGCACGGGTGAAGATGAAATTAGGACCACGCTAGACTGTGAAGAGTCAGAACATCGAGAAAGCGTCGACCGGGGGCCCTTGCACATCTCGTGTGTCTTCTCTGTCCATGGACTTCTCTGCGTGGCCATGGGCGTGTGGCCGTTGCCACCATGCACGCGAAGTGCACCGCGTCTTGCTCTTGCGCTGGTCTGCGGCGTGGTTGGACGCGGTTGCGGTGGCAATGGGACGCGTATGCTCCACACTGTTCGTATGCAATGCAATGCGACGCCGGGATACAATCGCGGGCGCTGGAAAGGTTGCGGAGAGAAGGCGCGCGCTGTTGGACGACTGACACGCGAAATGGGTTCCGAAGCAAACGGCGTCTGCCATCGTTTGCCATCAGGACAGCCGCATTCATGGGCTCAGATGTTGTGTTGTGCGGAGAGAATCGCGAGCTCTTGCACCTGAGCTCAGAGCCGAATGGTGGGCTGATCTCATCTAGCTGTCCCGAGACATGGCTACTCGTGGCGAACAGCCACCAGGTGTGAAGAGTATGAGGTCTGCTGATCGAAGCGTGACTGGAACGCCACACATCCACGCCCGTAATCTTTGACGAAACGTAGAAGTGAAGATCCTGAGGCAACACGCCAGCTCAGAGAGGAAGCCAAGACATCACAGCAACGCAATGCCCACGAAGCAAACGAGGCCTCACGGCAAACGAGCATCATCAACGCCATTGCAAGGAAATCTCATACAAAGGACTACGAAACCTTCCCCGTCATACACACGAAATCCGTCATGTCGTCAACACTGCATTATCCTCACCATCACTCCATAATAGGCGACAATCTCTCTCTTATACTGCTTTTCCTACTCATGCCCATTGGCATCCACCGACGCATGCTTTTGATAAGACGACCCGCTTCGCGTGACCGTCCTGGTGACGGAGGATCCGCCACCACTCCTTCCGTGTGCGTGTGAGTGGTAGTGAGTCCTTTGAGACTCTTCATACTTTTCCATCTCTCGGCACTTGTCCTATTTCGCGACGAGGAGAACATTAGCTTCTATTAAAACACGAACAGATATAATTGTAAGGACGTTGATTATTGAGGTGTGTATGGAAAGGGAATGTCAAGCTTACCTCATACTTGGCGACATACTCGTCTCGTTCACGATCGGCGGCAGCACGAGCGGCGATGGCACGCTCCTTTTGCTCGCGGGCTTCACGAAGCATGGTGCGAAGGTTATCGATTTCGTATTCGAGTTCGCCGCTGTCGTCTTTGTATTCGTTGATGGTTTCGGTGTATTCTTCGTAGCGACGCTTGACATCTTCGAGCTCGTGGCGAGCACGGTCACGCTGGTCTGTCAAGGTGCGGACCTCAGTCTGGACGATCGTGAGGCGCTCCTTCAATTGATGGATTTCGGTGGTCAAGTGGCCGTGGTGGTGACGGGCATCGTCACGCTCGTGCTCGATGTGCTTGATGCGTTCGGTGAGGCTGACGACTTCGGAGCGCACTTCGCTGAGGGTGGACTCGGTGCGAGTAAGGGTGTCCTGGAGGACAGTGATCTCACGCTGGCGGTCAGAGGAGGTGTGTCGCTCGTGATCGAGGTCGTCCTTGAGCTGGTCGCGCTCGATGATGATAGTGCGGTGCTCTTCATGGTGACGCTCGATGCGGTGACGAAGGTCATGCAGCTCAGACTCAACATCGCGAAGCCTGTCGTCTCTGCTGGTGACCTCTCTCTTGGACTGCTCATACTTCAAGGTGATGTCTGCGAGGCGTGCCTCGACGTCTTCGATGCTTGTAGTCTTGGTCCTGAGCTCGACACGGAGGCGGTCGATCGTGGTGGCATGATCATCACGCTCGGACTCAACGAAGTGCATGCTCTCCTTGATCTGGCGGGACTCGCGTTGCAAACGCTCATACCTGTCAGTCAACTCACCGAGCTCGCGAAAAGTCTCCTCCGATCGGACAGTGATCTTGCGAAGCTCTTCTCTGAGTCTGTCCTTCTCGACAAGATATGTGTCGCGCTCATGCTCCCATGCGGACAAGCGGCTTGTCAAGGTAGAGACTTCTTTGCGGGATGAGTCGAGACGGTCGACGAGGTCGATGTTCTTGCTCTTGAGCTCTGCATGTTCGCGCGTGAAGGTGCGCAGCTCGCCACGATACTTCTCGGTATCCTCTCGAGCATGATCGCGTTCGCTCTCGATGTGCTTGATGCGGGCGAAGGCACTCTCAAGCTCGGCTTTGATCCTGTCATGTTCGATCTGGTTGCGCGAGATGGTGATCCTCACGTCACTCAACTCTGCACGACTGCGCTCGAGCTCGTGATCACGTTCGTGAACTTTCTTCTTCTCGATGGTGATGTTGTTCAGAGCAGAAGACAGCTCGATGAGAAGCTTCTCAACTTCCTTCTTCCTCTCGGCAAGCTCCCGGCCGTGGTGGTGATGCTGGCTGTCTCTTTGTTCGAGGGTCTCGGAAATCTCATCGATCTGCAACATGAGTTCCTCACGCTCGCGATCGAAGGACTCACGGTCAGACATGAGGCGAGCCCAATATTCCTTGAGAGATGAGGCCTCCTTCGAAGCATTGGACATGAGTTCGATCAGCGAGAAGAACTTGCCCTCGGCCTGATGCGTCAGTTCCATCGACATCTTGTTGCGATGTCCATGGAGGAAAGAGCTTGAGCGTCGGGTGGTGCTGCTGACTTGTCGAGAAGTGCGCGCGAGGGCTCTCGAGCTGCTCTCAGCAGCTCCCTTGCTGAAGCCGATTTTGCCATACTTGCTAGGAGTTCCTGGATCCGAGAAGACGTCTCGGTCGTCGTTGAGTGAAGATCCGAGCTTCATGATGGCAAGCTTCTCGGGGGTGATCTCCGGGAAGTCGGTTGTGTGGCTATGGTGATGGTGAGAGTGATCAGACTCAAGTGTCGAGCTTTGGCCGTTGAGTACTGTTGCGGCAGACATGGCAAGTACACGATATGAAAAATGTTTACTAGATGGCGCCTGGAGGACAAGCGAAACAGAAAGGAAGGTGTTATGCGCGCGGATGTCCCACACATATGTAGGACAAGCCCGAGGCTGGAGCTCACCAATTTCTCATGCATTGACTATGCATTGGGCGATGGTATATGATGAACGCAATTGTCCACCTTTGAGCGTCGCCAGCGCCGATTGGAAGATCTTCGACTCTCATAGACTGGCGTGCATAAACGAATGGAGCCCAGAGTTCGCAATGGCTGGGTAGATGATCGGGGTGCTCAGATGGCCCAGCATTGAGCTTGCGATGGCGTTCGTGCTTGTACGCATCGGGAGGCGTCGTTGCCATTGACGATCTATGCGCGACTGGGACGCGGAGTGGCCGCAACGACAAGAGCCCCACGACTATCACATGCTCCCTGGATTCGCCAGTCTCTTGAGCTGTGGGCAGTACACGCGAAGGGCTTGGTTGTCAAATGCTCTCCGAGCCAGACAAACCTATCTCGAAGTAGTCAACGCATCGGGCATTTTCTCACATCCCAACGGGGAAGCGTTGCAAGCACGACTCCCCGCTTGCGTGGGGTGCTTTCCAATATAGGCGAGGTTCGTTCCACCCAGCTGGCCTCTGCTTGCAGATTTCGCTACCACGGCGGCGATGCCGATGAGTGATCCCATTGTGAACACCGTCACAGATGCAGGGACACGAGCCTCAGACACAACTTCTCCACGTATGATCGACGGCTCATCGGCTGAAGAAGGATAGACAGGTCGCCAACATAGCTGTATGCAGCTACGTGACCGGGATGTTGAGTGATGGTAACCTTGTGGAAAGTCTCATGTGGCCGTCGGCAGCAATAGGTCTAGCCACGAGATTAAACGTCGCGTGGATTGGAAGTAAACCCGTTCCTAGTCCAGTTCGACATGTAACCAGCCGTGTGTTGTTGCAAGGACTGTGCTTGGTGAACAGCAAGCGAGCATCACTGCAATTCATACCCGGCCTTTCAAATGTCAACCCAATGCCGCGATAGTTGTTGTGATCAATCCTTCTGCACGCCAGCTCGATAGAAATCAGGTAGCTTGCGAAGCGGCATGTACGAGCTGCAGTTGCACTCCACACCAGCTCAGTGTATTGTCCATTTCCAGCGATTGCGCAAGAGCGTGCGGCCCGGGTAACCCTATCGTGTCGAGATTCATGGATGTGGAGCCCAAACCCTACCATAGATTTGGTTAAGCCTATAAGAACTGCAGTACGCTCTCTTGGCTCCTTACTACGAGGGTCATCGGTACTCCGCAGCGCTTCGCCCCGTCCGCATAACTCCAGAGCACATCAGCAGTACATAGGCTCCTTCGAGGGACGTAACTTCCAGCTGACAGCATAGAGAAGGTATCGTGGTGGCTGGCTAGCATGAACGGCCTGCTGTAGTAGAGACCATTTGTGGGGCATCATGGCGGAGGCGTGGTGTCGCGGGCGGAGATCCTTCCGCTCCACGCATGGCTAAACCGGTCCATGGCAGGACGGCTCTGATGCTGCCAGCGAAATTGCCATTGATGCACACCAAGGTTCATCAATTGGCTTGAGATATGCACTGATGAATTCTCCTCAATTTGTGCAGAGGCAGCCAGCTCATCGAATACGCGGCCAAGAGCAAGCTCGGCAGTATGAGGCGTCCACGAAGCTGCAGGTGAGAAGCTTCAACTCCATGAGCTACGTATACATACCATACAAACAGCTTCCAGCTGAGTTTCTGCGCATGCAACGCATCTCTGATCATCAAACGGGGTGGTGATACTTTGTCTTGCAGCGATTCTCGGGCCCCAGGGACGTGCTCTCGGTGTCGCCGCGCTTTGCAGCATGCGGTGGCTGGCGGATGGGGAGAGACGACTTCGTTACATGCGTTCGCAGCTGCTGAGTCCCGAACACAGCTTGATGGTACCAGGAGAATACTTTGTCGCGCTCTCCGTGCATGTGAAAGAGTGGAGAAGCGAGCGATGGAAATTGCATTTTGAGGTGACGTTTCCCGTGAAGAAGGCAGCCAGTGCCCACGCGGACCACACTCCGTCCACATTTGGTCACGGCTTTAGCCACGGAAAGTTCCAGTGTTCTACAGCACGTTTTATGTGAACAGCTACTCAACTGAAAGCTTTCAACTAGACAAGCTGCTTGATGAGAAATTGGATGGTTCATCATCAATTTCTATTCTTCATACCGACATAGTGGGTGTATCATAAATCATAACTTTCCAGATATCTGAACTCTCCTACAACTTAGAGAGCAGCCAAGATCGCCTCTCCAATTGGCGAAGCAGAAGCCGGGTTCTGTCCGGTGATCAACTTGTTGCTCTTTCCGCTCTTCACAACCTTTGGCTGCCATGGCTCCGCCTTGACAACCTTGCCTCCATGCGCTTCAAGCTCTGTCTCCAGCATGAAAGGCATGGCAGCAGAAAGTTGTACCTGGTCCTCCTCTGTGTTGGTGAAACCAGTCACCTCTTGTCCCTGCACCAGCCAGCTTCCATCAGAAAGCTTCACGTTCACAAACGCAGCAGGACCGTGGCAGACAGCGGAGACGACCTTGCCAGACTCGTAGAATTCTTTGATGAGTTGATGAGAGACAGGGTCGGTTGCGAGATCAAACATAGCTAGAGTCACAGGTCAGTACACCACTCTCGCTTTGCAAAACTAGGGGCGATACTCACGTCCATGTCCACCCACGTAGAACACTGCATCGAATGTGTTCGCCTTTCCAACAAAATCGCTCAACTTCTGGGTGTTCTTCCACAATGCCTCCTTCTCCTTCAAGAACTTGGTGGACTCCTCATCGCTCTTGAACATCTCGACGGAAGAAGGATCCAATGGAGCTGCTCCTCCCTTGGGCGAAGCGATCACGATCTCGGCTTTGCCTTCAAGCTTGTAGTATGGATGAGCGAACTCGGGCAGGTACCAGCCTGTGGGCTTTCCAGTGTCGCCCATCTGATCATGGCTGCTGAGCACGAAGAGGACCTTTGGCAAGCTGCCGTCGGACTTCTTGTGCGAGCTGACGACGTTCTTTGCTTTGTCGATGAGGGAAGACATGGTGCCGGCTAGAGCAGAAGGGGAAGTTGCGATTATTCCGGACGTGGTGAATGAGTTTGTAGTTGTATGGTAGACAGGAAGTGTTGAGTTTGAGATTGAGAGAAGAGAGTTTCCGTATTTCTTACCACGTTTTCTAGCTTGCCTTATACTTTTGCACGTCGTTGCGTCGTGGTCTCTCATTGTGTCGTGGCTATTCCTCGCGCGAGGTTTCTGCGAGCTACGTCACTGATGTCATGGCAGCTGGGTTTGAGCTTCTCAGAGCTTTGAAGCCATCAATGGCCTGGACTTGTGAATGGCCGAGCCAATAGCGGGTGCGGTGACGCCAAGTAGCCCCACGCTACTCGGTGCTGATCAAGCAAGAGACATGTGTCAAGAAGTGTCATCGTGGCAGTGGATGGATTGTCATGTTTGTCGAGTCGAGAGAATCTTCTCGCAGCAGCGCGGAGAGAGGAGAGTCGGAGAAAACTTCATTTGGCAGGACTTGGCTCCGCATTGTCGGCCAAGAGGTGCACCAGGTGCGTGGCTCCTGCCATCTGCACTCAGTACAACTTCCTCAATTCTTCCAACAGCGGCCGAAATACTTCACATGCAGCATCATTTTCTCTCCTATCTGTCAGACACAACCCTGTAGCATTTGCTTCCGCCCCAATGATCGCCAAATCCTTCTCTTGTTCACCATCGAAGACCTCTGTCCATCCAGGTCCAGCACTCGGGTTCCTCCCCATCCCAGCCCAAATCGCCTGCAGCTCGGCACTCAGCTGCCTCTGCTCATTCGTCGCATTTCCCCCGGGATAGGTGCCAAAGACAATAGGAACCTCGCTCGAATGATACGCGCCAGCTCTCGGAAAGATCTCGAGATTCGGAAATTCAGCATCGTAACGATATCTCCAAACGTGAGACTCTTGACCTGCTCCCTGTCGAGCAGATACCAGAGCTTCCGAGAGTGCTTTCGTTGGGCAATTGAACAAGAGATCCGTCTGGATCTGACTGATGAGCAGGAAAGCATCTGACAAGATTGCTTCCGCATACGTGAGGTAGAGTTCGTCAATGATGGTGCTAATATTTACCATCACGTAGTCTTGGATCCAGCCCACGACCGAAGAACGATTGAGAACGTCGACGTTGTCGACTCCGATAGAGCCAGTGTAAAGTCTGCCTTCGTCGCGATTCGTGCCGATGAGAATGGGAACTTGGGCAAATTTGCCGGAGATGATGTTGGGTAAGGCGTTATTGGTGTGGGTGATATTGTCCTCATCAGGCGGAAATTGTAAGTTCTCCTCTGTGATGAAGGCTTGGAGATCTGTTGCGGGCACTTCACGCAGACAATCGAGGCTGGAAGACGCCGAATCGCATCCAAAGTCGGCGACGACTTCGTTCCAACTCAGCACTCCATCGCCGATGTTATTCGATGCTTGTGACTGCAGAATAGCTCCGTGGTATGGGAGCGGCATGAGAGGGTTCGCCAACAACTGTTTGACAGAGTGACCACCTGCTGATTCGTCGAAGATCGTGACACGAGAAGGATCTCCGCCGAACTGGCATGCATCAGAACCGCTCATCAAGGGTCGGCCAACAGTAAACTTACCGCAGCAATGTTCTCCTGCACCCATTGCAGAGCAAAACGCTGATCAAGGAATCCCGAATTCCTCAGTCCAGCAGGTATTTCTGGGCTATTGGAGAAGCCAAACACTGTTCCACAGTCAGTCGATACGATTGAACATGCAGAACTAGCTCTTTCACAGCTTACGATTGGTTCGGTAGTTTGCTGCTACCACCACCACATCCTCGTTCATAGCAAGGGAGCTGCCATTGTAGCGAGCATCAGAAATCGAGCCAAGTATGAGGTTGCCCTTCGATGGTTAGCTCTGTGAGCTACGCTCAAAACCTAGTGACATACTCACTCCGTACAACCAGAACAGCACAGCCTTCAAGTTCTCTGGTGAAGCGTTCCGAGAAGAGAAAATGTTGAGGTACAAGCAGTCTTCGCTTTCGTCGCCAACTTGAGTACCTGTACCAGGAGCTGCATGCACACTCAGATTTACAACCCGACAGTACGTAATTTCTGTTTTCATAGTGCCCACCAAGCTGTTGAATGCAAGTATTTGGCGGAGTCTGCGCAAGCAGTGGCTCTAACCAGGGGTCTGAGGCTACTGGAGGGCTGAATCTTGTCGGCGGACTTCGCGCAAATGGTATTCCTAAATATGCATTCGCGAGCCCTGTCACGAAGGGCTGGTTAAGCACGCCAGTAGCGGTCCCAATGACAACGCCCTTCGAGATCGTCACTGTAGGCTGAGGGTCACTATAGCTCATTGTCAGTGCAGCAGAAAGCGAGGGTCTAAAGCCAAGTACGAAACTTGCGAGGATATGCGTGATCATTGTACCGATTCCTGGAAGCAGTAAACTGTGATGATGAGGTGTGCTGCAAAACTGTCATGAATTATGTAGAATGTTTTGAGTGAGCAGAATGTTCAGCTGAGACCCATCTCTGTCTTGGCCGCTTTCAGCTCCTCACGGATGTCCGGGTCCCCTACGGGTCTTGTCTTTTTGACCAAAGGATGCAACATCCCATGTCGCGAGCCCTAGAAGCCGATAATTCAGCACACACGCATGGACGTCTGATGCATCAAGGGATTTCTCAACACTGATTCGGACAATACTCGATCTCGCCCCGCGGGTCACGAGCCTCCAGGGCAACAGCACGTACTTTCATGGTGTTTCCTGCGTTGAGCATCGAGCCACAGGCGATCATACACATCGAGATAGACATGGGCGTAGGCTCCTGCTTGGTCTTCGCCTGCGACATTTGGGGAATCGAGCGTACGACGCCGCCACTCTTCTACAGACTCGTCTTGCGGACCGTCATTAACCGTTTTCTCTCGCTCAATCGGTATGAGTTTAGTTGATGAGGGACTTTGTGGTGAAGGCAGAGAGTCATTGGAGACCCTCGTAGTATCAATGTAGCGTGCGGTTGGTGATGGCCGTGTTATGTCTGGGCAGTGCCTCTCGGACCGGCCAGTAGACCGATCACCATAGCCACGGGCTGGATTGTCATGCTGGTCATGTGAAAGGGTTGACATTGGACCAGTTGTGCAAGTCATCGTGGCGGATGCAGTGCGGCCGCTCAGAACTTGATCATGAACTGCGCGGTACTTCAGCTCAGCAGATCGTGAGATTCGAGACGAGGGCGTTGGCAGAAAGTGTGAACTACGACCCAACTGATTGAGAACATTGAGAGCTTCGTGTCCTGGATTGACGGAGCTGGCGCCAACAGCGATCGATGTTGCTGATTTGAGATCTTCAATTGCTGGCGAAGATGCTGGCGAAGAACTGTGCAGACCCATTTGGGCGGCGTAGATCGAAGGAAGGTTTGAGGCGCTGTTCGGAAGATGCTTCGGTGTGCAGTCAAGCGGCGGGCTTGATGCTACGATCTCGTTCACGAAAACGACGGTACCGTTGTCGCCTAAGATATGGTCTCGAATCGAGCGACGCAATTGCTTCTTCTTCGGTGTGTTGAACGGTGTAGGAGGCAGCAGCTGGCTTGGAGATGAGATGCCCTGCGACCCACTTGTGCTGCGACATGGCAGTCTCTTAGATCTGTCTTTGGACTCGTCGCTAATGGTTGTGTCATTTGGGTCATTCGCAAGCGACGATTCTATGTTTTCCTCGATTGCATTTGGTTCGTGTAGAATAGTAGTGCCCGTGACCTTTCTGTTGCGCAGATTGCGCACAAAGGTGAAAATCGACATTTTGTGGTAGTGTCTGATGCAGATGGCTTATGCATGCTGGGCTCTGACAGCTTGCAGAAGATATATTCGCGAGCGTTGTGGGGCACCAGGTGTCTTGCCAGCGAAGACAGATCTGTTGCAGAGATGACAGAATGTCTTAGAGACGGCCAGACGCTGTTGAAGGCATGTCTCGTTCCAGTACAGCAGACGGCCTCAGCTTGACCCTGAGACCTGTCGCGGCTGGGGCGCTGAATAGTCCATCGATGCACGAGCAGTGGATGCGCGGCCTGACGATAGCAAACCACTAACTGAACTTTACGCAACGTTGTTGGATGTGGGCCAGTATATCTTCAAGCTCTCGGTGGTGCGAACGCAAGTGGTGCTGCTTCGACCTTTTTTCTTTCCGACCTGTCGTAGAGTTCGTAGTAATGGCAGAGATATTCTCCTGTAAGTCCCAACGTGATGATGCCTCCCGTCCATTTCCACGCGCCCTTGAAGAACCAGTAAGCAGCGTCTTTCACATCATTGAGGTCGACTTTGCGAATCATATAGGCCGAAGTGGCGGCAGTGCCTGCGACTGTGCCCAGGAAATAGACCGGCCCGGCACCGATAGCGATTCCTGCACCAGCGAGGAGGCCAACTTGAACAGCAGAGACTGCCGATAAGAATAGTTTGGCGTTCTTTTCCTGGGCAAGAGCAATGCTTTTGATGCCCGCTTTGGCGTCGTCACGGATGTCCTGATAGGCGTAAATCATGTCGTATACGATGGTCCATGCAACGCACGAGCCGTACAAGCAGGCAGCAGCTGTCAATGCCGTCGGATCGCTCAGTACATCAATTCCGAGGGCAGGGAATCCCATCATTGCACCCCACGAGAAAGTGAGACCCAGTACTGCTTGCGGATAATTTGTCACCCTCTTTGCCAGCGGGTACGTTGCTACAAGCAAGAGGGATGGAACGCCGTAGAAGAGACACACCAGAGGAAACTGCAAGAGAAGCCCAAGGCCAGCGAAGAGCTGGACTCCAAGATATGGAATTGCCTGGCGCACCGTTATTGCTCCTCTAGCGATCGGTCGTAGTCTAGTGCGGGTGACATGTGGATCAAGGTTGCGGTCCCATAAGTCATTGACGGTACAGCCAGCACCCCGCATGATCAGAGCTCCAGTGAAGAAAAGGCCAGTGGTGTAAAGGACAGTTGTGGGCGGAACCACGGGATTGGTAAGGGGCGCCGCCATCAACGTGCTGAATAGGCATGGTAGGAACAAATAGTAGGTACCAGCAGGCTTGTCGAGGCGGATTAATTCAGCATATGGAACCCAAGAGCGTGGAAGGTACGAGAGGAGTCCGGTGGTAGGGGGCTTGTATGTCTGTAGGGCGATGTCTGGAGTTGAGCCGGTGGGAGATATTGGAGGCACTGAAGCCGTGCGCTGGAGTCGCAGTCTCGTCCTGTATAGGAATGCATTGCTTGTCTTGGTGGACCCATACGAGTAGCGCGTGGGTGGGAGTGGTGATGGTCTTGATCCTGCTGTGAGAGTCGCTGTCCACCTCCTGCAGCCAATGCTCGGCAATTGAAGCGCAGGACGCGTCGATGGGGTTGCTCTGCAAAGAACAGCAGAAACGCGCAAAGTGGCCATGCTCAGGATGGAGTGGGCGCAAGTGAGCAATCTGTGACCTACCTCAGTTCGGCATAATCTCACGAGGTGAAGTGAAGTGATGCATACTAACCTCCCAACGTTGTTAGATGTCTGCAGTAACTAAAGGGCCTGCAGGCAAATCGCCCTTTCCATCTCGGGCGTGTTGCCAAGCCTCGGTGCGGAGTTGCCTCTTCGACGCGCTTCTTCACGGCAATGTCCTCCGTCCACGAGCACATCACCACTTGAACACCATCGCACACGACCGACGATCCGCCGACAAGCTGCAGCGCCCCTCCGCGACTCGAATACATCTGGTCAAACGCGCTGCTGAGCAGTGGTCGGCGACTGACGGAAGATGCGCGTGAGCTGGTGACAGCACGCGTTTTGGAGAAGCGGCAGTCTCACGTACTCACCTACGAGCATTGAACGAATACCACACGACGACTGAGCACTGCGCACCTCACGACAACGATGCCGGCTCAACGGCCACGGGCATCGTTCGAGCCCATCGCCCCTGACTTCGATCTAAAAGCACTGGTCGAGTCCACGCCGAACTTCCAGTATGTCGACCGCATCAGTTGCGAGATGATCGATCAACAAGGCTTGGCTGCCTTTGAAAAATTGGTTCTGTTACATGTTGTTGTTGGGGGCAAGCCGCTCGTCATCGATGGCTTCGAAGACCGCCTGGACCCGTGGACATTCACAGCGAAGTGGCTGCGTGACAACTGCGGTGACAAGGTGGAGCATGCTCGCAATCTCACTGCAAAGGAGAACCTCCCGCTCACCATGGGACATTATTTGAGGAACATGGGACTCCTCACAAACCAATTCTTCGACAAGCCTGGCGCCTATCGTGAGAAGAACCGCCAACGAGTATATCTCAAAGATATTGATTGTCCTGCTGTGTGGTGGGACAAGTTGAAAGAGCATCTGCCTGCCGCTCTGACATACCTTAACGACAGCACCGGAGAAATTGGTGGACCAGGAGCCAAACCAGATCCGACGAGCGCGGCACCTGGTCGCAGACTTGGCAAGGGCATTGCAAGAGCTGGTGACCTAATGAGCTCGCTCCCACTTGATATGCGAGCAGAGAACTTGATGTGCTACATTGGTCATGAGGGGACATATACACCGGCCCACAGAGAGATGTGCGCTTCATTGGGCCAGAACATCATGGTCGAGGCTTCCAACACTGTGTCTGACGATGGCAAGGCTGAGAAGCCAGGCTCGTCCATCTGGTTCATGACAGAATCGAAAGATCGACACACTGTGTCAGAATACTTCTTGTCGGTCCTCGGTCATGACATTGAGGTCGAAAATCACTTTGCTCAGGTCGTTGCATGGAAGAAAGCACCTTTCACCGTCTATGTTGTTGAGCAAAGACCTGGAGATTTTATTCTCATTCCGCCTCTCGCTCCCCACCAAGTTTGGAATCGTGGAACACGCACGATGAAAGTGGCCTGGAATCGCACGACTGTTGAGACCTTGGAGATGGCACTGAACGAAGCGATCCCGCGATCCCGGATCGTATGCAGAGACGAGCAGTACAAAAACAAAGCCATCATATACTACACCCTGCAGAAATATTCGAGCCTCCTCTTAGACGCCCAACGCCAAACAGCGATGATGCCAAGAGATGCAGTGCATTCTTTCCTGTATTCCGGCAAGATCAGGCAATTGATCAAGGACTTCAAACGCTTGTTCGCGCTGTACAAGCAAATGCTACTTACAGAAATGTTCTCTCCCGAAGATCGCGACTCCCCTAAGAATATCGAATATTTACCCTTTGACAGCAACGTCACTTGCGCGTATTGCCGATGCAACATCTTCAACCGATTTTTGACTTGCCCTTGCTGCAAGGATATGCTTGGGCACCATGCTGATGCCGAAGATGGAGATCCTTACGATGTATGTATGGACTGCTATGCGATGGGCCGTTCATGCTACTGCATAAGCGGCTTGAAATGGGTTGAGCAATTCAAGTGGAAAGAACTGGTCAGCAAGTACGAAGGCTGGCGTAAGATGATCATTGAGTTGGATGGCGGCCAGATCACGGACAAGACGCCACTCTCACTTCTCGAAGAGCGTAGGCGGTATGGAAAGAAGACTCTTGCAGAGGTCTGCAAAGACCAGTTGAAGCGACGCCCGTTCAAAGACCCACACAAGTCAGATGAACCAAAGGAGGACGACGAGTCCGAGGAAGAGATCGTAGTCGGCGATGACGGCACAGTCAAGAAAGTCACCAAGAAGAAGAGCAAGTCATGGCTCAAGAACAACAAGCCGTGTCATGTCTGCTGCCACAGGCATCCTGTATGGAAAATGGCGCAGTGCACGACCTGCGACCGTGCCTGGTGCTACGGATCTCTCTTCCGCGGTTGGGACAAAATGCCCCTAGAGATTATGGAGAACCCAGACTGGTCGTGCCCGCACTGTCTAGGAATTTGCTTCGCCGGCGCTTGCAAACGTGAAGGCAAGATGCAACCTTACGAGCCGAAGGGCACTCTGCTTGGACACGACACGAAGAAGGTCGCCGATGTGCGCAGCACAGAAGCACTCGTCGACTTTTCCGTCAGCAACCTGAATTGGTTGAAAGAGGATGAGCAAGGCAACAAGTTGGACACGCGCCGCCTGAAGCGAGCTCGTGCAGAGGCGGACCGTGAGAAAGACCAAGATCCCAATGTCAGCGACGATGGAGGCGATGTTGACGAGACACAAGTCGCCATGGAGTACTCTCCGGTGGATGCTGGTCCTCTGGATCCCGCTCTGGGAGGCGAGCCTATCGCTTCAAGCAGTCGGCACAACAACCTTGGTGATCTGGACGACGAAGCAGCTCTTGCTCGGAGGCTGCAATTGGCAAATGCTTCGCTACCTGGACCTGCCGGCATGGTCGCGGGTGCACCTGTCAGCGGCGTTCCGGATGGCTATGCTCCTCTCACGGCAGCTGGTTATGCCGGATATGCACCAGAAGCTTCAATGTATCCCGAACCCGAAGGAGACAACTCGTATCACTACCCCATCCGGAATGGCGACAATTTCGACGAGACGCCTGGAAAGAAGGGCAAGGGGAAGAAACGCAAGCAGGTCCGCGGAACTGGCGAAGAGGAGGACGAAGACGAAGATATCGCTATGTCGAAGGCACCGAAACAGAAGAAGCCGCGACTGATGGCGGCAGGATTTCGCTCACACGACCTCGCCGAGGAGGCCGTCGGTGCATCGGCATCCAAAGCAAAGAATGAGGCACAGCGCCAATTCGAGAAGGAGAAAGAGCGTAAAGCGCTAGACAAGGCGAAAGCCGAAGGTCGCTTCATCATGTTGCAAGCTGCCATCAAGGGCAAGAAGCGTATCGTAAAACTCCCAATACCTGGCAACCGGCTAGCACAGGTCATCGCGCAGCAGGCAGCAAAGGCTGCCTTTTCTGCGACAAATGGGCCTGACGCGGACGCTGAGCACGAAATGGAAGACGGAGCTCAAGACGAGGAGCAAGATACCAGTGGCTTGCTGTTGAAGTCCGACATTGCACCCAAGAGGAACCCAACAGAGGCCCGAGAGCAGCGACTACGTGACGGCATAATCGTACATGGGGGCGCTAAGAAGGCATTGGTTCCCGTGGAGAAGGATGACAACTATGGCTATGTGTATCGCCAGAGGTTGCCGAATGGTCAAAGAGTTAGGCGCGATATGAGCAAACCGCAACCAACGCTGGCCAGCAGCAAATCACGCCGAAAGAGCCAAAAGAAGGCGACAATGTACGAGGAGGTCGACATCGGCTCAGACGATGACGATTTCGAAGAGGGCACTTCCTTTGTCGCAATCAACAGTACAGCTGGGAGGAATCGTCGCTCCCTCCCTGGCTATCTTCAAGACCGCCACGAAGACGATGATGAAGATGCCCCTTCCGCACTGCCCGATGACCATCGAGATCGTCCCGCTAAGCAGCGACCGTATTCAACGCAGCGCAAGCGTCAGAGTATCAGCGAAGCAGATGCGCAGCTTCAGCAGGAGACACAAGATGCTGCTGCTACTCCCTCTCTTGTAAGGCCAGCTGCTTCGTCGTCGAAGAAAGCGGCCGGCAGACCTTCTTTCGCCGGCAAAGGGCCTGTAATGCGGCCATCGAATGCTCAAGAACCCATCACGATCGAAGACGATGGCGAGACGAGTGACGAAGACATTGACGCGACCGGAGGGGCCCCGAATGGCAGCACTGTGAATAGCACGCCAGCCACGAATGGTTCAACCTCCCGACCTACGTCGACGGGCAAACCGAGGGGCAGGCCGTCGAAGCCTCTCGGAAACAAGACTGCCGCTGCTGCGGCGGCGGCGGCGAAGAAGGCCGAATTGGACGCTCAGCGCAAGGCTGCTGAGGATGCAGAACAGCAACGCCAGCAAGCAGAGGCCAATAGACTCGCGAAGTTGCAGGCATTACAGATGCTCGAAAGCGGTGACATGGACTTCGATCCATTTGACATGAACCGAGCCGGCGGCAGTACGATGTTCGATGATGGTTTCGACGACGAAAGTGATGACGGCGCGGACGAGATTCCTGCACGGTAAACGTGGAGTGAGAAAGTTGAAGTTGTGAATTGAAGAAAGATTCGCAAGGTCATAGCTTGGAGGACAGTATACAACACGGACCAAGCCCAACACAGCGAATTACTGCACACGAAGAGACAGCAGCATCTTGAACATCGTGTTAGCACCGCTCAGGTTGTACAGTATTGCCCATGAGGCATTCTTGCATTACATTGCATCGCGCTTTGGCCGTCTCTTGCTGCAGAAGAAAACAAAAAATGCCAAAGCGTTCGCTCCCAATGCATCACCATGATCGGCTACCACCAGTAGCAGTCGGTTTCCATCTCGTTCCCAACTGCCGCGCTCGAGACACGCGCCGATCTGGCACTAAGCCACCACGCGAGCGACCCTGTTACGCCATGTTTGTTTTCTCGAACGAATAAGTCTGCCAAGTCATGCAGCGAACACCATCTGTGGCTTGCGGTTGTTGGCCGTTTATGGTTTGGGCTGGGAGGCTAACAACCACATGTTGTGGCGGCCCGCCAGTTACCTCCTCGTACCGAAAGCGCCTCTTACTTTTTGCTTCGCGAGTCATGGACATAAGTTTCTTGTCGTGTGCGTAGGGAGTAGGCTAACACGTGAAGCGACGACCTGGTTGTTTTAGAAGTTTGGTGATGATACACACAACGGCCGTTCGCGCGTTGCGTCTGTGCCGTACGTCAGACTATGTTTCAGGGCTGTGATCCTGCTCGCCTTTTTGTTCGTTTGGGGTCTGGTAGCAACGGACTAGGTGTGTTCTAGGTTTGGTGCGTGGCTGCCTTTGACGTTTGATGAGACAGCTTGGTGATGGAGCGGAGCGGCAGAGGCTGTGGTCACGGATGTGGTACGGGACATGTGTTCACTGCCGTGACACGGCATGCCGATTGGTCGGCAATTGGACTTGGTGCCGTATTTTCTAGATTGTTCGCTCGGCAGGACGAATTGACTGGAGCGCTGTAGAGGTGAGAAGGCTAGTTGCCCGAGATCAGCACATGTCCCTTAGGGCTGTACGGTACAGCAGATTGATACGATCTTCGATTCCTCTGGATTTCTTTTTGAAGCACCGGTATGCACTCTGCACTATATCAGTCACTCTGACACTTACCGTTTGAAGCCACTATTGTTGGTCCAGACAACGGTTCTGTTGCTATCTTCATTGCTGCTTTCGATTACTGATCTCTGCTTTAGTGCGAAAACGAGCACGAGGGCACAGTAAAGCAGCGTCGATTCAGCTGCTCTGCAGGCTGTCGTGGCCGTTGTCGCCTGTTACGGGCTGTGCTTTGCACCTGCGAGAGTCATTTGACTGCAGCTTGGTTGGAGCTGGCTTCGACCGATGGTGGCCACGAACCACGCGATGAGCCTGGTCCAGACAATACCGAAAGTCACTATAGTCCAGCAGGACACCATCAAGGCAGGCGGAGTTGACACCGAGCAGAATACGAGCCGTACCCATCCTGGATCGGTTCTGGAGTGTGTATTCTTGTTAGCCGAGCCACTCACGAATGCCTTGGTCAATTATATGAATAGAATCGAGCCCAAAAGGCCCTGTTCGTTCGCACATGTGGTCGAGAGTGCCAGGACGTCGGCGGGCGGTTCAAACGGTGTTTCGATATTGGATGCTGTTGCCTCGACACGAGCTGATGCATGGCGTCGACTGCGAGTGCCGCACAGAGCCTGGACGAAGGAGCAAACAAGGTGTATGCTGGGAATTCTCGGGCTCGGGGCGGATGTCGTATTGTTCTTGGGCCGAATGAGGTGCCGATGCAGGCTGGCGACACTCAATCCGCCCGGTTTGTGGCGTCAGTGTTCGTGCTCCGTCCTGCTATCGGCTCCTTCGTGTGCTATAAGAGCCGTTCTTAAGATCCAGTGAAGCCGAATGACTGGCAGGACAAGAACAGATTGTGGTTGTATCGCAGCCTCAACAGCGCGCTACTGCACGTGCGGCTTTTTCTTCCCACGCGCGCGTAAGTCGTCCCGTCGGATGTCATGTAACAGCCATGGAGGCTCACAACCCAGTAAATGTGATACCAAGCTGTCGGACAGGTTGCCAAGTAGCGCAGTGGCCGGGCAGCTGGTATCACATCGTGGTCCAAGTCGTACAAGATCCTGCGGCAACTTCCATCAAACGGTAGAACTCTCAGTCCAATAAGCCTGTTCATCCGTCTCCAGCAACGCGTGTCTTCTTGGCATGGTGTTAGAACCTCTCTTCTCTTCCAGACTCGGCAAGGCAGTGCAAAGCATAATGCTCGTTTGACCTATACCTTCATGCTCATCCAATTGAAGCAGCGGCCTCGACCACTGATCGCATCAGATGGCATTTCAAATCCCGATGTCGCGAGTATCTGCCAACATGCTTGTACATCTTCCCAGACTGAGGTGCTTCGGGGCATGTAGCTAGTGTAGTCAGCAGATATGGGCATCAATACATAGTCGGCAGATGCATGCGATCCGCAACACGGTCTCGAAGGTGGCGTGGGCACAGCATTCGAGGACCTAGTAGTGTCGAGCAAGTGAATACATACTTTCATGTATCGGCCATCAGTGGGCTGTGTGCATTAAGCTCGGAACAAAGCGAAATGCCCTAGCAGATCAGGCCCACATCGAGATGACGCGCGAGATGGCGACTGATCAACGCACGATGATCTGTATTGCACGTGCAGAAAGAATGAAGGGTATAGAGATCTTCGCAGAGCGGCATCTTCCTCGAATCCTATGTCATCGAATTGATCCTTGGATCGTTCTTGATGCCACCGTTGGCGAATGTTGCTTTGCAGATGGTATTTTCTGGCCGAATAATGGCAGACAAGCCGCAAGTTCCAGACCAGAAAGACGTACGCAGGGCAAATCGCCTGAGAAGTGCAGATGTTTGTCGATGTTTCGAATTGCTGCAACCAGGTGAAGTTGCAAGAGTCATGGCCATCGGGATGCGCTGTCGACCAACCCCAGTTTCATCTTGACTCCACAGCCACCACGCCAAGCCGTTGGTCCCATGTTTCAAGCTTTCTGCAATCGCGACTGCAGATCGCCACGGCAGTCGGGGGTCTTCTGATGCCGACTGTCTCATGCGGTAGGTGATGTACGTGCAGATGCGCATTTCTGCTGCTTCTAGGGGTACCAAGAAAGAGCGCATCGACGTTCCAAGTCATTCGCCCTACATTCGAAACCTTCAAAGTCTAATGGACTGCCGATAGCTCGTACGAACCAGGGAACTAGCAGATTAGAAGGATGTGCTTGAAGATCTAAGCTTGCAGTAGCCATGCTCTTATTTCATGCGCCGAGGCGTTGTTCAATGGAAGACTTGCTGTTGAGCACGAGCTTCCGCTGTCAGGAGAGTCAGAACCTGCAGTTGATCGTGGTTACAGATGGCGGTCTGCACAGCCACCTCTAGTAGTCGAGAAACTTGATATTTGTAGGCAGTAGTCTTGGGTGGTTCTTGGCTCGCTCATGATCGCGATCACCCTATGCAGCAAGGCAAGCTACGCACAATGCTTCAGGTGCGATCATGATTGTTGTGCGTTCCATTCCGCAAGTATGGGGTGATGCCATGGCTTGCATGTGTCAGCGTCGTGCATCGCGGAGCTCGAAGCTAACTAGCCAGACATGGAAATCCCACTGCCGGAGGATTCAAGGCTGCAGCGATTGGCTGCCGTAGAAGCAGTGAGGGGTCCGTGATGTTCTGGTTGACACTTCGCTCGTTGTTCCATGGCGCTATGGTAAAGTCCACAGGCGAGTGAGGCTGAAAACCTCAGAGCTGTTTCGGGTTGAGCAGGAGCGCTCAGGACATATTGGGAACTTGTACTTCGTCATCATGTGACCAACGTGGACGTTCCCCAGACCCCCCTTCCGCCGGACAGCAAAACGCGAACTGGGATTCACAGCTTCAACGCTGTTACTCGCCCAACATCGACTCAACACGCATAAAAACTCGCATACGTACTCTAGAGGACCGTCTCTGTCGATATATGTACGAAAAAAATTGAGATTTCCGGAACCTTCTGAGGTATTGCGACAAGTGCGGGAATATCCGAGATTGTTGGAAAGTATAGTCTAGTTAGATATTCTAAGAGACACTTTAGAGATTAGAGTT